CCCCGCCTCCGAGTCCTTTGTCACCAAGCAGGACACCACAGGTGAGGTCCCAGCAACACTGGGGGGGTGGCTCCAGAGGAATTCTTGTCCCCAGGGCTCAGGGAACCCATGGCATGAGCACGGTCCTGTCCTCTGCAAGTGGCAGTGCTGCCTGCTGGGAGGGGTGTGGGTGACAGCTCAACTCCACTGAGTTTAAACTTCAACTGATTTCCTGCCCCTGGGTCACAGCAACTCCCTGCAGAGCTCCAGGCTGGGGCAGAGGGGCTGGAAAGTGCCCCAGGGAAAGGACCTGGGGGGTTGGTGGGCAGGGGCTGGAGAGGAGGCAGCGTGTGCCCAGGGGGCCAAGGAGGCCACCAGCATCCTGGCTTGGGTCAGCACTGGTGTGGCCAGCAGGAGCAGGGCAGGGATCATCCCCCTGCACTCAGCACTGGGGAGGCTGCACCTCAAATCCTGGGGTCAGTTTTGGGCCCCTCCCTCCCAGAAGGACCTTGAGGGGCTGGAGCGTGGCCAGAGAAGGGCAACGGAGCTGCTGGGGAAGGGTCTAGAGCCCAAGTGTGGGGAGGAGCAGCTGAGGGAGCTGGGGGTGCTGAGCCTGGAGCAAAGGAGGCTCAGGGGAGACCTTCTGGCTCTGCACAGCTCCTGACAGGAGCCTGGAGCCAGGGGGGGGTCGGGCTCTGCTCCCAAGGGACAACAGGACAAGAGGAAAGGGCCTCAAGTTGCCCCAGGGGAGGTTTCAGTTGTCCCTGAGGAACAATTTCTTGCCCTGGAGGGTTGCCCAGGGCTGTGCCAGGCTGCCCAGGGCAGTGGTGGAGTCCCCACCCCTGGAGGGGTTTCCAAGCCGTGGAGATGTGGGGTGAGGGACACGGGGCAGTGGAGACCTGGCCGTGCTGGGGGGTGGTTAGACTCAACCATTGGGTTGGACTCACTCCTTGGTGGGTTCTGTGCTGCTTCACCTGGCCAAGGTGTGCAGGGAGGTCAGTGTGCTGCAGGGCCAGCTCCTCAAACCTCCCCCTCTCCCTGCAGAACCTCCTCGGGCGCTCCTGCCTCACGCTGCCCGGGGCTTCACCTGCCCCACTCAGGGACCTCTTTGTGCTGAGGGATTTCTCATTCTGTGCTCGAGTAACTTGACTTCTTCTTCTCCTCTCTCCCTTCCTCCCTCTGTCTCCCCTCCAGGGAAAATCATCTCCATTGACACCAGCTCCCTGCGAGCCGCCGGCAGGACGGGCTGGGAGGACGTGGTGCGGAAATGCATCTACGCCTTCTTCCAGCCCCAGGGCAGGGACCCCCCCTATGCCAGGCAGCTCTTCCAAGAAGGTAACGGGCTCCTCTTCCTCACTGGCACGGCCTCCTGCCCAGTGGAGGGAGCTGGGAGGAGAAGCTGAGGCGTGGGCCTCCTGGCTGGAGAGACCCCCGCTGGGGAAAAGCTGCTCTGAGATAAGGAAGCGGCCAAAAAGGAGAAGGGAGAGGGTTGGGGAGTGCTGGAGGAGCTTCTCCAGCTGGGAGGTTCCCTCTTGCCTTCTAGAGCATGCAGAAGGGAGACAAATTGGAGATAAATATGATTATTTTATAGGAGAACTTCTGGCTCTGCACAGCTCCTGACAGGAGTCTGGAGCCAGGGGGTGGTCGGGCTCTGCTCCCAAGGAACAAGATGGAAACAGCCTCAAGTTGCCCCAGGGGAGGTTTCAGTTGTCCCTGAGGAACAATTTCTTGCCCTGGAGGGTTGCCCAGGGCTGTGCCAGGCTGCCCAGGGCAGTGGTGGAGTCCCCACCCCTGGCCTGGAGGGGTTCCCAAGCCGTGGAGATGTGGGGTGAGGGACACGGGGCAGTGGGGAACCTGGCAGGGCTGGGTTGATGGTGGGACTCTATGATCTCAAAGGTCTCTTCCAACCCCCATCATCCTGCCTGTGTGCTGTGTTTCTGGCTGTCTCCTGCAGTGATGACCCGTGGCACTGCCTTCAGCCCCTCCTACCGATTCACCCTGAGCGACGGGACGGTGCTCAGTGCCCACACCAAGTGCAAGCTCTGCTACCCCTCCAGCCCAGAGATGCAACCCTTCATCATGGGCATCCACGTCATCGACAGGTAGGTCCCCACCCCTCCCCAGCTGTGGTGGGGAGCTGGCAACCAAAGGGTTCCTTTCCCTGCAGCGGGAGGAGGATCCACTGGTGCTCTGTGGTGCTGGTTTGAGACTGAAGCCCAGCCTGGTGGCAGCTCTGCTGCTCTTGTTTTGCAAAGAGGTGGCTCCAGGAATTCAGGTGGAGGTTTATAGACGTGCCTCACATTTCTGCCTTGCCCTGGAGAATGTAAAAATGTTTGGGGAGGGAGAGGCTCTGCCAGACTGGCAGGACAGGGAGAGGTGAGGCTGTGGTCCTGGGCCACGCTGGAGAAATAGGAGGGGTTGGGATGGAGGGGAGTGATGTTGGAGCATGGTCCTTCTCCAGCCATCTGGGAACATCAGACCCAGAGAAGATGATGCCTTCAGTGTTTAACTGGTGGGCAGCTGCAGTCCTGAGCAGCATCATGTTTCTGGAGAGATGCTAAAGCTGCTGCCCTCCATCCGTGCTCCTGAAACGGATCCAGAAGTGGTTGGTGGGGCACAAGGGCTGAGACTTGGGAGCTGCTGCTGCTCTCCAGGCTTCTGAGGGCTGGAGCTGATAGTGTCATCAACAGGCAAACCAACAGCCAGAGCCCTCCCTCCACTACCACACTACAGCAGAGACCCCAGGGGCCAAACCACCGGTGGGAGGAACAGCTCAATGCACTCACAGCACCCTGTGGGGAGGAGGGAGAGAGATGACCCCAAAACCTGCTGCAGGAGGAGGAGGAGGAGGAGGGAGCCAGATGAGGAGCCCAGTTATGGAGTAGATCCCCTGAGAGACACTCATCATCTTGCCCCTCTCTCCTGGGAGCTCCACTTGCTATGAAGAGCCAAGGAACTCACACATAGCCAAGCCCCCCAACCCCTCTCCAATCAGTCAGCTTTTCTAGAGGTGGCCTCTTGCCCCACCTCCAAGTTCATGTGGAAGGGTGGGGGATCTGGCGGTGCACTGCGCAGC